TACTAAAACTTTTAAAGTAAAAAAGTTTAAAAAATGTAAAAAAGTGAAGTAAAAAAATCGGCAAAAAACCTGTTGAAAATCCAATGATCTTTAGCCCTTTTAGCATCTTCACACGAAATCATCATTGGTAATTATGTGCTTTTGTGTTAAAGCCATAAACAATCGGCCTAGTCGTGACTGCCTGCACATATGTATATATGTACTATACATACATATACAAACATGTATTTAATTTGAGGCGCAACCATTCACAACACTTAATCATATATATATATATATATATATATACACTGTTTCACTTACGGGGCTTACAAACAAACATATATATGTATGTACATAAAATACTTGACTTGCACCGCAGAAATAGTTGTTGCCGTAACTCAATTGAAAAATTTTTGGATAGCTCTTATATTTTTATATTATTTTTTATTTATTTTTATTATTTTTTATTCATTATAAACCACCATTATTTTTGATTATTTTTATTAAATATTAATTTTGGGTTTTTATTTTATATTTAAAAAAATTTCAATATTTTGAATAAAATTTTTATTATTTTCAAACTTTAAATTTTATTTTTCACCATATTTATATTCAAAAATTTTAATTTATGCTCCTTTTGTTTACCTCTTGAATAACTTTGCGCTTTAAAATGTCAAAGTATTATGTGGCATTAAAATGATTGTCTCTGATCTCTCTTGCCTCATCTTATGGATGACGCAAGATGGTTTTGAGGTGTGCACAAACAGTAGTGTTGTTGGCTTACAATTTCGAAGGAATTTTGGTTTAAAGAGAAAAACAGATTAATTTTTGCAATTTTTCTGGTGGAGTTTTAAAGAAACTTTTAATAAATATACCTACTTCTATGGAAATTAATTTGAAAAAATTCAAAAATGAGCTTCGAAGAAATTTCATTCGTCAACTCGTACTTTAAAATTTTCCAACTGATTCACCAATGATTCGTGATCAGTTTACGTGGAATGTGAGAAAGTTGATGAGTTTCAGGAAAGATATGCTGAAACCACAGCACAGACAAAAAAGTGCTAGCAAAAAGTAAATCACCTGTGAACAAGTCACTGAATGTCAATTGGATGCCATGATTCAACAAGTGCACAAACGCAGATAATAAAATAAAATAACATTGCATTAAATAAAATAAAATAAAATAAAATAAATTAAAATAAAATAATATAAAATAAAATAAAATACAATAAAATAATATAAAATAAAGTAAAATAAAATACAATAAAATAAAATAAAATAAAATAAAATAAAATAAAATAAAATAAAATAAAATAAAATAAAATAAAATAAAATAAAATAAAATAAAATAAAATAAAATAATTAAATAAAATAAAATGAATTAAAATTAAATGAAATCAAATAAAATTAAAAAAAAATAAAATAAAATAAAATAAAATAAGTAAACAAAAATAAATTAAAATATATTAAAAAATAAAATGGCAAGAAATAAAATCTCTACATGCATACGTACCACGTCACAGGGAACCACTGTATATGCATCCGTGCTTATTTATTAGTATTTTTTGTATGCACATGTAGTCACAATGGAAAGTGAATTTTATTCTACACACACTGCTGAACATTTATATGACCAATCAAAATCACAACAATAAGAAAAGCACAACTGAAAATGACTGCAGGCATTTAACAGTCAATAATAATGAATTTATTGATAATTTAGTAGAAAGTAGCAGCCGGTCGTGTTGAAATTTTGTATGTACATAAGTTGCACTGCAAGCCAGTAAATTGCTGCTGCCGCCATGCTGCAGATGAAGAGATCGCTGTTGCAAGCGCGCCGTTGCTGGGCATAGCGCAATGTAATGCATTGTACATACATATTTATCAAATGCATTCACATGCATTGCCATCAATGCAGTCGCTGCATAGCTGTAGCTATTGTTGTTGTTACCAACCAATTTTTATTTCGCTTGTGCGCATGCGCAATTGCACACACCAAGCAGCGTCGCCGTGCTCGCTGCGCTGGGAAAGTGTGTGAGCGTTTGCTGCTTTAGCTATGTTTTACACGCCGAAACGTGCGGTGAAACTTTTTATAATAATTTCGTTTTTTTCCTGCTACAATTCGTTGTAATGGCGTGTGTATGCGGCGTTTACTATTGCCTGTGTATGCCGTGTGCATACGCTCAGCGTCATTATATACATAAATGCACATTTTAATATGATGCAAGGCGCATATATCTTATTGTGCTGCATTACAAACTCAGCGGAGGTGGTGTTTACTCATAATTACTCGTAGGATTTAAAAAAAAGAAGAAAACTAAATATAAATAAATAGAAAAATAAAAAAGTAAATAAAATACAAATATTTGTTAAGTAAATAAATACAAATATTTTGACGCGCTGAGGCGTCAATCCATGCTCATATGTATGAAAGTGTGTATATGGGTATTCATATGTACTATGTCGTTTGGGTGCGTGCATTACAATTTTATTCACTCTCAGTCATGTATAATGTAGATGAGGGCGGAACTAAGGTTTGTAATTTTATGGGGGCGTTTTCAATGAAGATTTGTTAGATACCAAACCAAAGGGAAACTATTTATTGGCCTAAAAAAGTAAAAAAAAAAATTATTTGTATATTAGATATATATACGTTCTTACGATAAGAAATATTTAAGAAATGCGAATTTTAAAAAATAAGAAAAATTTCTATATATAAAAAATTGAAATATAAGGTTGTCAAATATCTCCCTTCCGCGTTTTTGCTCTTCATTCAATGCTTTATAAAAAGTGTTACAGTGATCGGATTTAGTTAAAATATGCGCCGTTTTGTTCGATGATCTGTTTCCATCTAGAGGGCAACTTCATAATACCTTCCTCGTAGAAGCCCCCCTCCTTATTTGCGAAGAATTTGGACAGCCACTTTTCACAAGCCTCTTTTGAGTTCAACTTCACACCACCAAGGGCATTCGCCATGGACAGGAATAGGTGGTAATCACTTGGCGCTACGTCCGGGCTATATGGTGGATGCGATAAAACCTCCCATCCGAGCTGCCGTAGCTTCTGATGAGTCATCAACGAAGTGTGTGGTCTGGCGTTGTCCTGGTGGAACACTACACCCTTCCTGTTGGCCAATTCTGGACGCTCCTGGTCGATCGCCTGCTTCAAGCGGTCCAGTTGTTCACGGTAGATGGTAGAATTAAGCGTCTGGCCATATGGGAGCAGCTCATAGTAGATGGTTCCCTTCAAATCCCACCAAACACACAGCAAAACCTTCCTGGCCGTCAATCCCGGCTTGGCCACTGTTTGGGACGATTCACCGGCCTTCGACCACGACCGCTTTCGCTTAATTTTGTCGTATGTGATCCATTTTTCGTCGCCAGTCACCATCCGCTTCAAGAATGGGTCGAGTTCGTTCCGTTTCAGCAGCATATCGCAGGCGTTGATTCGGTCCAGAAGGTTTTTTTGCGTCAAATTATGCGACAAACAAACTTTTTTTTGTATCCAGCCTTCTGCAGATGGTTCAAAATGGTTTGGTGACTAGCTCCCATCTCCTGGGCGATGTTACGAGATGCCATGTGCCGGTCTAACTCGATGTATTCCATGATTTGATCGGTATTTGTTGTCACAGGTCTTCCGCCGGCTGGCTTATCCATGGTGTCGTTTTCACCGGCTCTGAATCGTCGAAACCATTCCTCCGCGGTTCGATGTGATAGAGTACCATCCCCCAAAACACCATTAAGCTCACGGAACGTTTCTCTAGCGGATTTGCCTTTACCGAAGGAAAACTTTAAAACAGCGCGAATTTCGGCGTTAGTGAACTCCATTTTTACACGTTTATAACTGTTGAACGGAATATCCAAAGCTAAGCGTTGTTTTGTAGGTTATGTCAAGACCTTTCAAATTATGTATAGTGTTGCCAGATACGAGCTCTGTAGCGCTTTGTACATAGCCGCGAAATTCAAAAGACAAAAAACCTACAACAACAACCTAATAATATAAACCTTTTGTGAGCCCCTACTGATTATTCAACAGCGGCCCGGTCGCCGACTGTGCGCGTGAAAAATGTGTGAAAATGCAATCAAAATAGTTTGCAATCGTATTTTTTTTTTTGGAATTTCTGGAAGAAAAAATTAAATTTACTGTTAAGCAAAAAAGAAAATTAAAAATTATTCATGCTTATTCATATTTTTCGCTTGGTTTATTAAACTTGCATTTTAATTATTTTATTGTCTTTTATTTTATGCTCTGAAACATTGCTTTTTTCTCTCAATGCTTTGATGGGGAAATTAAGCTATTTTCGTATTGAAACAATTAAATTTTGTATTAATTATTATTTTTCTTTTAATTTATGTACGCATTGTGGCAAAAAAGATGTTTTTAACTTTTCTTATATTTCTGTGCTTATTGCTTGATATTTATTTATTTTTTAATTTTAAATAAAATTTTTAATTATTTTTTTTTAATTTTCACCTATTATTTAGTTTAATTTAAGTTTTCCTAATTCTTTTATTGCTTACTGGTTACTTATTAACAAATTTTTTTTTTAATTTTTTCTTTATTTTTTAATTTTATTATTATTTTTAATTAATTTTTTTTTTAATTTTTTGAATTTTATTTATTGTAGTATTTTATTTTTTAATTTTTTTATTATTTTTAATTAATTTTTTTTTTAATTTTTTGAATTTTATTTATTGTGGTATTAAATTTTTTTATTCAATAATATTTAAGTGTTCCTAAATTGTTTCATTGCTTATTGTTTATTATTCATTTCTTTACTTTTAATTTTTATCATATAAATTTTTTAAATTATTTTAATTTATTGTATTAAAATATATTTATTTTTTTTTTAAATAATTTTTTTATTCTTTTTTTTTGAGAATAAATATTTTTATTTATTTAAAATTTTATTTATCATTATTAAAAATATACAAAAACATGTGTTTACTTTATATATAAAAAAATCTCGTTATAAGTTTTATTTTATTTCATTTTCTTCACCTCATTTGCATTTGCAGGTTGGGAATTGCGTGGCCTTAACTGTTATAAATACTTCAATATAAAACATTCATGGGAAAAGAGCGCTGAGCTGTGTCGAAGGTGAGCGTAATTAAAATGCTAAAATAAAAGTAATTAGCAGTTAATACAATATTTAGTTGTTACAACAAAAAAAAAACCAAAAAAAAAAAAAAAATAAAAATATTAAGGAATGAGGAAAAAATTAAGAAAAAAGCAAAAATATAAACTAGTAATAATGCAAAAAAAAAAAATTAGTTAAAAAAAATAAATAAATAATATAAAAAAATCCCATTTTGTATATTAACACATTTAATCGTTTTGAGTTGTGCGGATGTGTTTTTTTTTGCTTTTTTTTACGTAGCAATTTGTTGCATATTAGTAAATAAATTTGTTAATTACGCGTAAATGTGTCTTAATTTGTTGCATAAAGTGTCATGAGAGTGTAGACAATGTATTTTGCACATCTACATATTTATTGCTTAGACATAATAGCTATATTAGCTGTAGATATGTAAGGAAGTCTACTGTCTGCGTTTTATCCGGTTGTTGAGTAACTGTTTTGCATCTATATTTATTTTTTATTTTTTTTGAGGAATTACTAGCACGTTGACAATAAGTTGGCGCTGACGTAATCATATGCAGGTAGTCTGAAAAAAGTGAAAAATAGTGATTTGTGTAGAAAACTCACACGCTTAGCAAGAAAATTGATTAAAATTTATCAACAAATTTTAGTTCTAAAAATTTATTTATACTACTGTATTTATAGAGGTAAAAACTTTAATGAGAAAAAAATACTGTTATATTTTAACATGCACAAAATGGTGTTTTTAGCGAGACCAAATCTACCGAAAATTCATTAAATTTATTTTATTTCTTTTTTTTGCTTCAAATTTAGTTTATTGAATTTGCTGAATGTTCCACTTTTCCTTCATATCGAGTAAATTATTTAAATTTTTTTAAATAACTCACTGTGCCAAAAATGCACTTGGAACTAAATATTTGCTTATGCCAAGTAGGAAAATATTCAATTTAAGGTATGCCACTTTCTTGCTTTTCTTTCTTTTGAGCCTCTAAATATATATTTTTCCATTTCGTCTTCTCAATTGTCATCTGCCTCACTTAAGCGTTTAAAGCTGATTCCTCAATGATTTTGATTTTTTGATTTGTTTGAAGAATTGTTTTTTTTTTTTTATTTTTTTTTTTTTTAAACAAAATTTTAACTATTTTTTACAAAAGTTTCGCGGAGAGTTGCAGTGAAAAATTTTTTTACAACCCAAATCACATGTACATTTACTATAATAAACTATTTGGTCATCATCAGCTGACCGCTCAAATCAAACACCAGCAACAATTTACCGATGATTAGACATAAACATATAAACATTTATATTAAATAATTGAGTCAGTGTGCTGCGCGAAGCCTTTGAGTTTATTAAAATTTTTTTTTTTCGAATTATTTACTGACTAGTCTTGCATTCCTTCACCCAGGCATATTTGCTAGCAGAAAAAAAAAATTGTTAAAATGTTAAGCATGTCTTCCATACAAATATATATACATAAACAACTTGTGTAACAGACACGCATACAAATAGAATCTCTAAAAATCTTATTTACTCAGCCTGCAAGATAAATCTGTAGTAATTTTTATCTAAAGAAGAAGTTCACTAGTCGGTATGTGCACCTGCGTGTATATATATATATATATATTTATATAAATATGCATATATATGTATAATACCTATATTTATATGTAAATATTTGCGTATGTTTATAGGCAGTAAAACAAATACGAGTATGTAAATTTACTTGTCTACTTATTTACATATATATGTACATTACATACATACACACACACATATACTCATGAATATGTAGCACAAATTGTCACCTAAAGCGGTTATTGAACTCGATTTTACAGTTATTCCTCGTTGTTATTTGACTACACTGAAATATTTAGCACTTGACTTCTAAATACCCACATGTACTCGTATATATGTACATATGTATGCATCGCCTTTTGTACAGCGCAAAATTTCACTGAAGATCACTGACCAAAGGCAAATTGAAATCTTTATTGGCTACGTCGACGTGAAACGCAATGCGTAAGGCATGCTAATTTGTAAACAAACAAACAAAAGAAAAAAAAAATACTACAAATATATGTATGTATAAATGAATGTGTATAAGTGTGCACAAAGCGTTGATTTTGGCTAAAAACTTTGAGCTGAAATGAAATTGAAGACTCAACTGTCGCTCAATTGTTGATATGCTGTACGTGAAGTGTGTAAAAAAAATTTACATACATAATCTTATAAGCATAGAAAATAATACATATGTAATGCTAATGTATGTATGTGTGTTTTTAGCTTTTGTTTACAATGCCTGTAACATGTTGTCTAATTAAATCCAACATTAAGTCCATTATTTTGTGCCCATATTTACCTGGTAACCGCTTTTACACGCTTTTAATTACAAGCATACACACATACATACATATGTATATATGCATACATACAATTCGTAATAGAAAGTTTTTTATAATTGTCGCCAAAATTGCAAGGAAGTGTTTAACGGTCATAATCACAAGCATTTAAAAACACTTTTATGTTTTTATTATTTTTTTTCTGTAGTTTTTTTTTGCAATTTTCTTTTCTTTCTCTGCGCGATTATGAAACCGATTTGTGTCATTTGGTAATTTTCTTTGAAATCCTTGAAAGCTGGCAAGCTGAAAGGAAACTTCCGCGTGATAGATAAGGCGCGGTTTCGAGAAATATATTTTTTTCGTTGAAATATTTTTTTCGTTTTTTTTAAAGAGATTTTGTTAAACGTGGAACAGATGCTGGAACGAAAATCGTATTGAGTGGTTATAAAGGTCCAAATTATATTTATGTACGATTATGTACATTTTCTAGGATGAAACTCATTATAATTTTCAAAATATATATTTATGCTACCAAACCTATTTCATCGTCTTCAAAGTAGTTCCCATCTCTTCATACCAACGTTTTTCCAATTACCGAAAAAAATGTTTTTGAAAAAAAAAAAGAATAATAAAATATTTTCTTGCGCATATCACAGGCTCATTTCTTAAAGCCATCTCTTTAGTTAAAGCACTTTTTCCAATTTCTATAACATTAAATTCAAAAACTACAGTAGAGACTGAGAATATCATCAATATTAAGTTGAAAACGTTGATATTGTAAAAGACGCCCAAAAAAAAAATCAGAGTGAAAAAATTACAAAAATTCACTTCTTCTGCGTTTAAGACGTCTCAGCCGCAGATTAGCTCACTCAGCGTTAGGGGACACTAATAGATAAGCAAGATCTTAAATACGTGTATATACAAATGGATTTATGTATATGTATATGTAGAAATATCTATAGGCTTTAACAAAGGCATCTCTTGTTTCAACTCAAAAAGTGACTGTGACTTTTACAACACATTTATGAGTAAAAAAAAAATTAAAATTAAAATTAAAAAAAAATTATGAACCTTTTTTCTATGTTCCTCGCTTTCGTAAGTGCAACAAAGTGATGCCCAATTTCTAAAGTCAAAAGTAAAAAAAAAAACATTTAAATTGAAGACGAGAAAAAAAAACAAAAACAACACACATTAACCTATTTAAATGTTTTTGAGCACTCAGAGTTCAGTGACAGGTTACTTGCATACCTGTTAGTTTTGTTGTTGTGCGTCCAAAGTGGTCAACTGATTGAATTCTATTGTGAAAAAAAATAAAAAAAAAAAAAACAAAATAAAGAAATTAAAAATGTTGTAATAATAAAAAAAAATTTAAATAAAGCTTAAAAAAAACTGAAAGAAAGTATAAAAATGTAAAAAATATTCAATAAAAAAATTTCAAATAAAAAGAATAAAAAACAATAAGGAGATAGTAATCGATTTACTTAATAACGTTAAAGAAAAAAAATTAAAAAAAAACATTTAAATTAAACAAAAAATAATAAACATAAAATATGTTAAAATAATAAATGAAAAAATTCAAAATAAAATTATTACAACCGAAAACTATTAATTAAAGAATTAAACAATTAAAATTGGTAAATTAGAAATTATCAAAAAAAAATTAGAAAAATATTTAAAGAACTATTGAATTTAAATAGTTATAATAATAATAATAATAAAGAAAAAAAAGAGAATAAAAATTATTAAAACCGGCAACGATTTATTTTATTTATTACTAAATTAAGCAATTAAAATTGGTAATATAAAAAATAGCAAAAAAATAGAAAAATATTTAAAGAAAAAAATAAATACGAATTAAAATAAGAAAAGAAAACAGTAAACCTAAAATTGTTGATGTATTAAATAAAAACAAAAAAACACTAAAAAGGGGAAAAAGTTGTTGAAATAATAAATGAAAACAATAAATAATAAAAAGAATCGCATAAAAACTCTTGAGATATTAAATAAAAATATAATTGATAAGGAAATATGAAATTTCATTAAAATAAAAAAATTTAATTAGAATTGTTAAAGTAAAAAATGAAAGAGATTAATATAAATCAATAAAATAAATAAATAATATTTAACAAATATTTTAAAATAATAAATGAAAAAATTAAATAAAACAAAAAAATGATTCCTAATATGGTAAAAAATATATTTTAAAATGCTATAATATTACATAAAAAAATTAAAATAAATTTAATCTGTAAAGGAGAAATTTTAGAAAAAATAAGAAAATTCTGATCATCATACGAGCACTGTTTTGATTATCCAAAAGCTAATATTGCACAAAAAGTTGTTGGTAAACACATTTAAAAGGCTGGAACCTCGATATATGGCTGTTATGTGAGCTGACGAGAAAAAAATGTTAAAATAATATATAAAAAAAAATAAATATAAAAAAATGTACTAAAGTAAACAAATTATGAATATTATTAAAATAATAAATAAGAATTAGATTAAAAAAACCAGAAAAATTGAATTAAATTGAAAGTTCAATAAACAAAAAATAGTAATAAAAATAAAATAAATAAAAATAAACAAAAAATAATTAAAAATATTAAAATATTAAATTAAAAAATAACTACAGTGATTTAGGAAAATCAAATTAAAAAAA